CCCCAGCCAGCCTGCTGGAGCTGCTCTTCGCTTTCCAGACTGACCCTTCTTCTGATGTACTGCAAGGATAAGATGGTCTGTTCAGTCAGTGCTTACTAATCCTGTCGTTCAATCATTTCTCTGAGCTGCAGCCTCTTCTCTGTGCCGCACTGAATGCAGGAGAATCTCCTCCAGCACTTGGGCGAACAAGGCGGGGGCTGGTGAGCCCCCCTGCCACTGATGGACATCACCTAAGGCAAGATGGTGCCACTCCTTCAGCTTAGAAAAAAAGGCGGCAATTTTGTGAGAAGATGAAGCTTAGAGAGCAGCGCAGGCTTAAGTCCGTAATGCTTCAATCCACCTGGATAAGTGACGAATTTCAGAGGAAGCTTAATCAATATTCCCTAAGTTTCTAGATAAAAATTTTGCACTTTTGCTGATGGTCAGTTGCTGTGCAAATGAGAAGCAGATGGACTTTTACATCTCTTTCTCTCTGTGTCAGTACGCTACAAGTGCTGGAGCTTGCAGAAGAGTGTGTAGTTTTGGGGAAAAAATCAGTGCATCATGAAGAGCAAGAGTGGAAATCCTCTTAATTTTAATTATAAAATTAAAGGTTTCTGTAAGCTAGCAAGAGAGATCACTGCATCAGAAACCCATGCATATTATAAGAGTTACCATGTCCATATTTGTGTTTTAATTATTTTCTTCAAAAATCCTTTCCAAGTTACATAACCCCTTTTACGCACTCACCCCACACCTGCTAGCAACAGAAGTGTGAGCTGATCCAATGAAGCCCTGTGCTCCTCACAGTTAAAGCTTAAAATACTTGTGTTAGAGGGCAGATTTGGCTACAATGCACCAGAAAACCATCAAGTACCTGTTTCAGAACAAAACAAGTGCATGCAAAAATCACAGCCTGCAGATTTGAACACAATGGCTCAGACTTTAATCTCCACTGAAGTCTGTTGGGATAGATTTAAATAGCTTGGGATTAGGTCTATAAGTATCTGCAGTGTCACTGGGAGAAGGACAGTGATGACAAGAGAGCTATTTCTTCCTGGAGATCAGTCTTTGGTGATGGTAATTATTACTGCACCAGATACGGGTACCAATATCATTTGAGTCCTTAAAAAAATGAAAATCAGCTAGTTAGTTTGTTAAAAATACATTGGCTACTTTAAAAAAAAAAATACATATATCACAGAGCTATTGGAAGTGATGTCTTAGTGTTAATACACCGACTAATAAAAACGTTGCCATAAAAAGATTTGCTGACCAAGTACCAATTGTCTCAGCTACTAAGACATTGGCAGTCCTTCCACAATTCACTTAAAATAAATGAACTCGTCCTTGTACTTCTCAAGCCAAGTCCATGGTCTAAAGCAATACTTTATAGGGTCAGTAGGGGAGCTTAATCTCTCCCCGATTTGTATCAGTGCCTATCACCACACAATGCATTTGTCTCTGCAGTGGAGAAAAGAATTTAATGATCTCTTGCACATACCTTCTCAGACAGGTTTAAAATTGCCCTGGGAACAGAAAAGAAAGTAGTCTCTGCTTTCCAGCTCCAAACAATTCTCCACAGGAAGCTCCCATTGATCTAAGATGTATGCTCTGGTAGCTGGACTGAATTTTGTGTTGAATAGTTTGTCTGCAGCTGAAACATATATCCAACACACTGGCCAATTTATGTGCCTTGGAAGATCGTTCCTTCCTTTAGCCCATTACAGCTAATAGAAAACACAATGATAATTTGCATGCATTGCCATTCCTTATGTTACCAGCATCGACCTTCACACAAGACAAAACAGAACAAGTTGTCTGAATGTCCTTAAACAAAGGTATAGAGTTAGGGGAGAAGGTCAGTGTTGGGGTGGCTGTTTTTTTTTTTCTTTTGGCTCACAAGAAGAACCAAAGTCAAAACAATATTGGTAAAAAAAAAAAAAAAAATACAACATTCCTTACTAAGTGTTCTTCCCTGAACTAAACATTTAAGAAAAAAATGAAGAGTCAGTTGTGCTGAAATTTCTAAGTGTTGAAAATGTCATCAAATGAGATAAAACAAAGCTGCACTGTCCACTATGTAGATGCTGGGCTGAAGTTCAGTTCCTAGGGCTTGGGAGCGTGGTAGGCTCCCACAAGTCTCTTAGCATAACTGCTTAATGTTACAACCAGGTTTAAAAATCCAGTGCTTTCCATTCCTGTCTGATACACCTGATATTCACTACAGTAACTGATGGAAAGATTAACCTCACAACTTTAGCTGTATAAAAGTTCAGTATCTAATCTAATCACTTTGGCTCCCTATAGAGTCCATGGAACGAGACGTCCACCTCCAGAAGGCAATTCATCCCATCCTTTCTAGCCCCCTCAGCACCAAGTGTCCTCTAGAGCTGCCAGTCTCTTTCACGGACTATCAAGAGAGCCTAACTGGTGATGTCCATAACTAGTAAATGAAACACAACAGGTAAATGAAACAGTAAAAGACAACAGGTTTGAAAATGCTTGACTACAGTCTGTAATCCTCCATGCAATTTGAGCGTTAGCACATGTCATGGCACCATTGTAGACTGTACCAGCCAACATGCTCTGAAACAACGCCAGGCATGGCTGGGGGGACAGCGCTGATCAGAGGCCATTCCCAGTCAGCCATCTGGATGTAGATACTCTGTTGGGGGTGGGGGGAAGGGGAAGAGAGTTTAGCCATGTAGACGTGAGCCACAAGTGCCACCTAGCCACAGGACTGTGTCTGCCGTGTTTTATTTACTAGTATAAATGAAGTCACTTCAGATTATATTCCCAAATTCTGCATGCCTCAAGCATGCAAAATGAATCCATCTTCAATCACTCAGGGGAAAAAAAAAATCAACAAAGAAAATAAAACCAAAAAACTGGGAAGCCTGCTTGCTGGTCACTGTTTTCACAATTATGTGCCATCTGTGTTCGCTCTACATAACCTAGTCAGATGCTACATTCCCTGATACCGATCCAAGAATTGAGAACAAAAAAGGTTATCCTCAGAACCTATCCAAATGGAGGAACTCAGTTTTGACCCCTAGAGAAAGAACAGTAGTCACTGAGCACAGTGACCTTAATCAGCTCAGACCTTGAGCTGATTGAGACCTTCTCACCAAGAAGACAGGATACATCTGGCACATATACATGAACTCAGTGACAACGCAGCATTTCACCAAACTCACCTGGAGAATAAGTGAGGGACCTGCAGTCTCCATTCCCTCTAACTTCCACTCTTTACACCCTTTCACTGGAATTTAACTACCTTGTCAATGGGATTCCAATTTACACTCTCCATCCATTGGTTCCAGGGATTTGGCCACTTTAAAAGTTGTTTGGGTTTTTTTCAAAAGGCACTTTAAATAACCTAGATGAAATTAGGTTCAATTCAGGAGAAATTTTTATTTATAATTTTTGATCTATATAATTTTTCTGGTAGTTTGTCAAGAGAGTTATATGTGTGCATGTTAGTTATAAATTGAATTATGTATGGGCATCAAATTAACAACACTGGAAGCCAAAAGGCTTTTGATGATATTAAGAATATCAAAAGGCAATATCAGAGTAAACGTCACAGTGTGCTGTACCAGAACTGTATCTTAATTGGAAGGAGAAGTAGCAATGCTGTATGACAAGGTCAGTGTCCATATGCTCATTCACATTTCTTGACCTTTGTCAAGACTCCCAATAAAAACAACTTTTTAAGGATTCATATGATGTGAGTGTTCCCCATGAACATCTGGATGGAGAATTCCCAACTCTATTCACAGGCGGTACATTACAAAAACATACTTCAGAGGATCAGGTTCTCAAACTCTGCCAACATGGTCAAAGATTCAAATAGAGGCTTGAACTCCACACATCTCACATCCCTGAATTACCAATTCCCTGAGCCATCTAATATGCATGGAAATTTTGTGTAGCTGGTTAAAAAAAAAAAGTATTTGAATTCTCATTTCCTCTCAATTAGAATTAATCTACTTGAGTAAGTTAATAAGGTTTCATAAAATGGGATGGTTTGTGTAACTTCTAACACAATTAAATATTAATAAACTCCTGTGGGAGCAAGATCAATGGAGTACAAAACGTCTTCCTGAATTTTATCTTACAACATGTCATTTTAACCAGTTATATATTTCTCTATACTCTGTAAGAAGTTTTATACAGCAGCAGAAGAGTGATGAAACCACACAGAAAAATCTCAGCATTTACAGATTAAAGAAGTGTGTGCATCTCATGCTCAATTTCAAGAATGGATTCCACCATAGCCTAAAATAAATAACCATCACATATGCGATACATGTCCATAATCAACCTGAAATATTATACGTAGTCCATCCAGACAGTGATTAACCTAAAATTCCCCTTCTCTGGCCCTATTTGCAACAAAACTAAAATGCTATAAAACCAAAAGGTAATCACCTATCTTAAATGGCAATATTGAATTACCTTTATCCAGTTTCCTGTATAATTCTATCTGACCTTTTGTGAAAGAACATTTCTAGGTGTCTGGTTTTTGCTGGTCTCTTGGGTCTAGTATGAGTTTTCTCTTCCCTTAATTACAGAAGAAGAATCATAAATCTGAACCTTCATTTCTAGCACTACAACATAAGGTTGAAAGTACATTCTTCTTGAGATGGAGGTGTAAGAAACACTGATGAAAACAAACACCAGGCAATCGTTCTTGAATTTCTAGTAGTTCAGCCTAAAAGATAGGCTATGGAAGTCTGCAGAAAATTTTTTACACATTGATTGTCTTTTTAAACATTGATAAGAAATATCTATGCTTAAAAAACCATAACATAACTAAAATAAAACAAAATACCTACACCTGAAAAATTAAAATTTTCTGGTCAAAAATTTCCCAAAAGTCTAAGTTCCCCAGTTCCTCAACCCAAATATTTCGTTCCCTGACCAGTTTTTTCACTGACATGCTTACAGAAAGGTCCATTTTTTTTACAGATTTCAAAATATTCGTTAGAAAGAAGCACCACAGTAAAACTTACATTGACATTCTTTGCAGCACTTGCCATCCACATAGGCCAGAGCAGAGTTAAGCGGGCAGTCAGAGAGGGGGCAAATCAAAGCCTCGCACTGCACGGTACCATTCTAGAAGAATAAAAAGGGCTTAACTGGCAGTTATATTTAGCACGAGTGGAGATGTTCTCAAACACAGGAACTTAAAAATCTATTTTTAAATGCAATGAACTCTCTAACAACACCCAAAAAGACATTTTAACATGGTTCTTTTTATAACTACAAGAACAGAAACTATACCTTTAGAATATCATGCATACAATCTTTTAGACATGTACGATGTGTTCTTTGAAATGATAATGAGCAATTTTTTTTTTTTAGAGGCAAATCTATTTGGAGGTAAAACATTCTGCCAATCAGCAGCAAATTGACAGATTCGTGTGAAATAACAATCTCCCAGAACAATACTCTGCCTTCTGATTTTTACATAAGAGACAATACATTTCTAAAAGGTAATAAAATCATAGCTGCAAGAAAAATCCGAGACAAAAATATGTAATGCATTTATCACTAAATTAAAAGAATTTTAAATTGCTATCAGCCAGATTTGATATCATGGACTAAGTCTTCTCGTCAACCACAAAACGCTAAAACGAAAATGAATATCCCTCCAGAAATATAAAGATCAAAATCATACTAAGCTTAAGGAGAACCATTTAGCAAATTATAGATAGCAGCAAATCAATCTAATCTAAGGTGCAATACAGACAACATCTTCTTCACCTATTTCTAATGGCCTTTGGATTAAGCATTTAATGAGTTCAAATGGAATTAATGAGTTTTACATGAATGGACAATATCAAAGTTGTCATGGTTTGGTACCTGAAAGGATATTTGCAATCAGTTCTGGAGTTGTGATACCTTTGGGAATCTTCCATCCACCTAACAAACCTTTTCATTTGAACAGAGCATGCCTATGACCCTGACATTTTACTCTTCGGTACTTATCGAGATGGAACCGAAGGCAACCAAAGAGAATCAGACACAAGGGATCTGTTAAATCATTTGCTAAGAAAAAGGCTGTGTTTATAGTGACAAAAAGCAGGGAATTAATTATCCAGACAAAGTGCTTGCAACTCAGTGCATGGGAATAACATGACAGCCAAGTATAGTGCATAGCATCTGTGTATGGTGACACGAAATATTGGAGCTATATGCTGGCACTGCTGAAACAATAGGAAAATGTACTTATTAATACCATTCCTTAAATTTAGAACAGGTTTTCTAGCACTTTGTTGTTACTATCTAGCATACATGTAGAAGTTTTCTCATTATTTGCCGCAATAAAACTGTAATCAGAGGAAGCACTAGAGTTCCTGAGTCTCCACTCAAACTGTAGCCATACCATGCAAGTGCAGTTCTTACAGCCATCTGTCCAGGATTCAAACTCTCTGTAAGTCGTGCCTTTCATTGTGCAGGTCCTCTCACAGTAGCACTGATCCAACTTGTTCATCCTCTGCTCAGCTTGGGACAACTGCATTTACAGGTCACAAAAAAGTTTTGAATTTGTAAGTGGTTTCCACATTAGTATAAACATGATTGAAACTGTCCCCATTGATGGGACAACTGTCCCCAGATGTCCCCCATCTCAAGCACGCAGATGAGAGAACACATGTAGAAAAATACAGTCAAAGATAATAAAACAATTATTGTCAAATACAATAAAACAATTATTGTTAAATACAATAAGATTAAGCCATCAGCCATTCAGAGATGGAAATTAAGAAGCAAGACACAATGCATTTCATTATCAGGAACATCATGAAACAAAGTGAGTAGGTCAAGATGAGTATGGCTCCTGATTTCTCATCTCTCTGTGTGTGAACTGACCAAGAATCTTGCTCTACATAAACTACTTGCAGATATTAGGTTATGCGCAAAAGACATGAATCTGAGTAGAGAGGCAAAATTGGAGGTAAAGCTCAAAACCAGCATGTTAGAAATTGTTTCTCCGCTTCAACCAAGGCATTTTTAACATATGCGTATCAAATCAGCCAGGTAACAGCATTCCTTCAGATATTTAAAGAATTGACATTTAAAACCAGAAGACTAGTCTATGTTCACCAGCAGACATCAATGCTTTTGGTGTGATATTCGGGGGGGGGGGGGAAGAAGAAAATGTTGCTTTGGATTCTTAAATCCTTGTCTTGCATATATTCTGCCTGAACATGCCTTTGGCAGCTCAGGTCTAGAAAAGTCTTGGACCAATAAGTCTTGCTGCAATAAGCACTATAAGCACAATAACCTATTTCATTCGAGGTTTATTGACTTGTTAGCCTAATAGATAGAGCTTGGATATCTGTGAGCCCTTTCCCTGCTCAGGGATTTGGATTCTGTTTACTATTAAAAGGTATGATTCTATAAAAATATTAAAACACAAGAAAGCTCTCTGAACTAGGAATTTGTATGTATAGACACAGATATATAAATACAAATATATAAACATACCATGCAGGGATGTTCCACACATACTCCCACATATGCACAAATAATTAAAAAGACAGAAATTAAACCCTTAGTCTTTGTTTCTCCCATGCCAAGACTCCTAGTAAATATTACCTTAGCTGATGTTTTGGCTAAAATGTCTTGCAGTTCCATAATTTTCTGCACGAGTCCATGGAAGTCATTACAAGTTGGGCATGCTAGAATAAGAAAATATGTATACTAATTAAAAAAAAATGTATTCACAATAGGTACAATCATGTCAAAGTTGATGACCAATACACTGAAACTCAAGGGTTTAGGAAAGCTAGTAGGATAGAAAGTGGGTACCAAGCACACCTTTCATTTTTTTGTATAAGAATTAATAGACTTACTGCGATTAAGATCTGGGCATTGAGAAATAAATCCTTGAGGCATGACAAGTAATTGCACATCTTGCATTATGCCCTACGTGTAAGTGGAGAGAAGAAAAAAAGGATACTTTATTTTTACCTGTCAAAATTATGTTTTCCATTCACTATGTAAAACATTAAAGCCCACACAGGAAAAACTGCCTGATAAAAACTATATTTATGAATACACAGCTCCTTGCCTGGACCCAATGCAGTGATAGAAGAATAAACAGAAAGTAAAATAGATAGATGTACAAATACAGACATACTGAATCATTTTTAAAGACATAAGATTAAATGTCAAGATGTAATTATGTGGCAAGAGTTTGGTTGTTTTGAATGCATTGTTATTTTTAGTTAGCCATTGCAGAAAAGCTTGAAAATGACCTTTAAAGGTAATTTGGAAAACAGTTGCAGTTTCACTTACTTTGAAACACTCTTTTAAATAAAATGCAAATTTTTTACTAAGCCAAAACTGTCAAATAGAAGTGAAGATTAAAGAAACTTGAGTCAGGAGAAACACATTCATGCAAACCCTTTACAATTTCAATGGGGAACTTTCTATAAAGCATGCAGAATGCCAAGAAACCACACGTCTGTTACACAGCTGCAGAGTCACATGTTGGCAAGAACTTAGGGGAAGTTTAACATGAAATTCAACTACACCATCTGGAAAGGGCCGGTTTCACCCAGAAGAATAGATCCCATGCTTGCAGGCAGAATTTACATGTATCCGTAGTCATTAAGATATAATTAGTAGCCACTTTGCTGCACTCCAAAAGCACAGGCCAAATAGCACTTTCAGTGAGCCACGCTATCATATTCACTCCAGATGTCCCTTTCATCCATGCCTCCCTCCCTGCATCTCCAAAACTCCATCTCAGAAAGAAAAGCAAAATAATTACCACATGCTGCAGCACACTTAAAAATGCAACATTTCACAACACTAAGAACGCGATGTAAACTAAATGCGAAAGTCCACATTTCATCCACGTACACATGGCATTCAATACAGATGTTGCAAAGTCAGCTAGAATTTTGATTTCAGGGGAATGAGTCAGGGTCACTTAGCAACCTAAGTGACCTGCAGAGAAGAGTAGGTGTCACTGGAGGGCAACTAGGAGGGTACTTGAGTACCATGCCTACCTTTCTCCCTTAGTAACAAAGCTACCATCCAGGGCAACTGGATGCTGTGAGGAGCTGCAATGATTAGCTAACGGTGAAAAAAATAGGTGTGCCTGAGACAGGGCTCCATGTCAGGACCTCCCACAGCACGTGTTCTGGAAGTCAGGAGCAAAGACCTCTTTGAAGAGCACACAAAAAACTCTCACTGTATTAATTCCACCTCCCTTCCTACCTTGGTGTCAAGTTCAAACTCATGTCAATCCAAGTTATGGCATTTTCATGAAAAGGAGGAATGGCAGGGTCTGACTCATTCACGTTTAAAACACTCTTCACTGAACACACAGGCAAGTATTCAAATAATTTAGCTATTAACCAACACTAAAGCTCCTCCAACTATTTGAGGAGCTTTATTCATCATCAGCTGTGATGTGAGCTGGACTCTGCCACTCACCAGGAATTCAGGGTCCTTCTCATTCTCCCAAAGCAACAAGAGGGAGCTGTGACACCTAGCCCACCTGGGCTCCCAAATCAGGACCTCCTGACAGTACACGAGAGGCTTTGCACCGGCTCCTAAAGAACCTGGTGGCTCAAATTAACACACCGCTGGACGCTAGGTACTGAGAGAATTTACATGGTACCAGAAATCAGATAGCCAGAATTGCGCTCTCAGGCTTCAGACCTTACAATGAAACAGATACGAATACATCCCAGTCTGAATATGCCAACAGGCACATTGGTTTAGTGCAGCAATATTATGTTCAAAATAAAATACAGACAAATAAAATCTTTTTTTCAGATTTGAGTACCATGATCCCTCTGGACAATCCATTTAATCTACTCAAAGCAGCCTGATTTTCAGAAATAGCTAAGCATCCTGACCTCTCAAAATCAGAGCAGTAGGAGTTGTCTCACAGTGAGTGTCTAAAACTATATGCTCTCCAAAATACTAAGAAGCATTGAAAGTCCTCATCTGCTAAACCAATGAATCTTCTGTACAACAGTGTCACATTTTCAGATGCAGTTTGCCCATTGGTACTATATTATGCTGGAGAAATCAGTTAGCACAGTATATTTTGGCTATATCGATGCTCTTTTAACAGCTATCCATTTCTGTATTTCTGTTAAGCTGGTTTATATTTGTAACTGAGGCAAAATTCCCCATGTATTTTGTTTAATTTTATCTTTCTTGAAAAGAAAGAAAGAAACAAAAAAATACAGTCCACTACTGGAGTATTTATTTTTCTACACCTAATGAGCTTCTTCACAGTGACTATGATTTGCCAAAAAGAATATAATAAAGTCAAAAACTGAGAAGGCACAAAAAAATAAAAGGAATATAATAAAAAGTATTAATTATAAGCACGTAGAATGAATGAAGTGTATCTGACATCAGATGAAGCAATGCATTAGTATTTTCTGATTTTATTCTTGGAGTCAATTGTTTATTTAAGCCAGAAATATAATTTTGCAGCTTGTTTAGCAGACTTCTTCTTAGTCTTCTGGAGGAAAAGGAAACACAAATTGAATTGAAAAATAAAAACAAAGTCATGCTTTGGTTTTCAAATCTGAGTGCCTCACTGGAACTCCATACTTCATACACAACAAGGATATAAATTGGCATTAAAGTTTAGCAAACAGTATTTCAACACCCAAAAACCTGACTTTAGCACAAAAGCACAGAACTTGCTGTGAAAATCATAGTCAAAGTGTTTTAGGCTGAAAAAAAGATTTAGCAGGCCAGGTTTTTAAAAGTGATTGGGTCTGTGATCAACATCATCAATTCTATTTTGCAGCTCAAGTAAAAAGATGCCTACAGGGAGCAAAATGGGACGGCAGTGTGGAAGGCATCCACAGGGATGTCATCATTTGTTAAAGCAGCTCCAGAGAAGACTGAGGCCAAACCACAGATAGTGGCTGTGACCAATCAGTGCTACCTAATGGACTCAGAGGAATCAAAATTTACACTCCAGTTCAACAAGGTATTCACTTCTTCAACAAGGTATTCACTTCTTCAATCTTGCTATGCACCAGGTGCTTGCTATATATACATGTTAAAGTAGAAGTAGTAAGCAAAAAGCATGTACAAATATTCTTCCTCTGGGGGGAAAAGCATCCTCTTCATTGATGTTAGTCATCTCATTCATTTCTGAGCCAAGAAGATGCTGTGATGAAATCTAAATCCTACAGAGGTAACGCAATTGAAGTTCCCTAGACTGTCTTGTTCCATGACACACACAAAATAAATGCATCTAGCTACAAAACAGAAAATAATCTATTTATTTCCCAGAATTCGGTTGCACTCAGCCATTTCCCTTTCCCTGTCTTACGCTGCTGTTGGCCATGTCATTTGGTGACACTGAGCCCTATACATCTGGCTCTGCAACTTTATTTAGTGAAGTCCAGTTTGATGGAAACACAGCTCACTACATCTGATATGCTGATACACAACACACCACAGCACTAAGAACTGCGTTGTGATTACAGAGCCACAGATTGGTTGGGGTTGGGAGGCACCTCCTGAGATCCTCTACTCCGACTTCCCTGCTCAGGCAGGATCAGCTACAGCAGGTTGCCCAGGACTGTGTCCAGGTGGTTTGGAAATCTCCACAGTAGTCTTACTCTGACTAGTCTCACAGTAGAACTGTTTTCTGATGTTTAGATGGAATTTCAGGTGTTTCAGTTTTTGCTCACTGCTTCTTGGCCTCTCAGTGGGCGTTATGGAGAAGAGTCTGAGTCTCTCATCTTCATTGCCTCCCATTCAGGTATCTAAACACATTGATGAGATGCTCCCTGAGCCATCTCTTTTCTAGACTGAACAATCTCAGCTCTCAGCCTCTCCTCATGTGGAAGATGGTCCAAGTTCTATTATTTTTATTTAAGTTCACACTTTTCCTTTCAGGGAATGCATACCTTAAAATAACCATGTGCACTATTCCTCTGTCCCAGCCAAAAGGTTGTACCCAAAGGTAAGTCCATGAAGGGCTTCTCCACAACTCTTTCATAAATTCTGAAAAGAAAAGGAAAAATATAGTCCCAAGTTATTATAATTTCATTTACTCAGAGCTGGAATGTTCCAAATGTGACAACGCTTATAAAACAATACTTTTTACTTACTTATTGCAGTCCACATGTAAAATCAAGTGAGAGGCACTGATTGCTAAGGAAAGCCTGTGCCATTTATCATCTGCCAAAATGTATGGGAATACTTCTGTGTGGGAGCGATGACTGCCTGAACGATAATGCAACCTGATTTCATTTCGATGACCGCTGCTTTCCAGCTCCAGGTACCTGTACGATAAATGCATCATCATGTCATGAACCATTCTTATCAGCACAGCAACATTTTACATAACACAACTTCTCATTATCATGCAGGAACTATTTAAAAGAGGGGGAAAGACAAGCAAGGAGATACAAAGATGAAAGTAGACACTTTCCCGATTTGCACTGCATCCTTCTTCTCAATAACACATAATAGCAGGTTCCAACTTGCACATAAGTACACAAGATTCCACACCAAATTTTTTTTTTTCCTCTAGCAAGACTATTTTCCATGACATGATCTGACTGGAAATATAATTACCCTATTATGAATAATTGCATCATATCCTGAAAGTGCAGTATGGATACTCTGAAGCCACAAATATGCAAAAGATAACACCAAGTTTTGCGATAGGGACATCATTAGCCATTACCGGCAAGAACTGAGACCAAACACTGCTTTGTTTGCTTTTGGATGTAAGGCTGAGAGAGTTGGGGTTGTTCAGCCTGGAGAACAGAAGGCTCCAGGGAGACCTAATTATGGCCTTTCCTTAAAGGGGGCTTATAAGAAAGATGGGGACAGACTTTTTAGTAGGGCCTGTTGTGATAGGACAAGGGGTAATGGCTTTAAACTGAAAGTAGGTAGATTTAGATTGGACATAAGGAATGTACTTTTTACAATGAGGGTGGTGAAACACTGGAAGAGGTTGCCCAGGGAGGTGGTAGATGCCTCATCCCTGTAAACATTCAAGGCCAGCTGGTCAGTTGCTCGGAGCAACCTGTTCTGTTTGAAGAAGCCCCTGCCTATGGCAGGGGGGTTGGACTAGGTGACCTTTAATGGTCCCTTCCAACCCATATTATTCTATGATTCTACACTGTTAACATCTCCTTTCACTTTTCATAATGAAATTTCTCCAGAGAAACACAAAATCAGGAAGTCTAACTCTTCAGAACAATTTATATTTGTGTACATATTTACTTTGTTAAATAAGAATGTGTATTTGTGGTGTGTGCGTGTATGTATATACATATGTATGTATATGTATGCACGTATATGTATAAATATGGTAAAAAACCAGTATTGCAGCTGTACCAAGGTAAGCACACCGTACACCAGATTTGCAGATTGCAAACACAAGCTTTGCTGGTGAAACTCCTGAGGATCATTTTAAAAAGCACCCCATAACCAAACTTGGTACTTAGACAGGCCTTTTCTTGCATATCAGACCTCTTCTAGGAACAAGCTTGACAAACCATTTGTCTTCTAAGTACTAAGTTTCTCATTTTAAAGTGCCCCTCTAAAACACTTTTAAAATAGGAAAGAAAAACAGAAATGGATATTCACTAATAATCATGCACAACCTACAGCTAATGAGCAAGGAAAATAACATAATACGTGGTGAGAAGCACAACTGGGAGAATGGACAAGTCATTTTTGTCTATTTTTGCTGCTACATCTGCAATCAGGCATGACAGTGGTTTGTAATTTGAGTGCACACGTGGTTTAGGGTGATGTCGTTTACTTTAACAGGCTATCTATATTAAAGAACAGTCAAGACAATGATTGCAGTTTTCAAGAGTGAAGATGAGACCCAATCAAAACCATCTTGTACAATCATTATCTCTCAGAGGAGGTTGGGCTCACTGCACATCTCTCCTTCCTTCAGGGTGTTTCACAGGGGAACATGGCTAGCAACAGCACAAAAACAGCTATCCTTTTGCAAAACTGGCAAAGGGCAATTTCTTTTTCCTCCCCAGTATTAACACAGCAGTTAACTAGAGTCAGCAATAAATTTTATAATCTGAGATAATTTACCTCCTCATGGCCTAAAAATAATTTTTGCATTGGCAAGAAGTGTAAACTAATTGAAGGCCTGGCTGGAAAAAATTGGGCAATAGTGGCAGGACATCAGTCAACTTAATAACCTCCTTCATAACTCAAGCTTCAAGGATAAAAATAAGGTCACTCTCGACCTAACAAAGAAAAGGAACATTATGGAACTGGAGTCCTCCAGTAACTTTTAAGTTTCTCCACGCAGTTGCAGATACAATCTGGAAAAAGAAAGGGATGGATATGTTGAAACCTTATCTCCTGGCAGAACCAACAGCTAGCTCCTACTCTCTTGAAAGCCAATGGCAGAACTGATGCTAGCACACAGAGATGCAGGCAGGGAACAAAATACAGCAGCAGACATACAGTCAGTACAGAAGGTATAAAATGAAAACTCACGTTGCCCCTTATGCAGGTGAGATAATTAAATCTCTGAGAAAGGAACATGGATTTCCAAATAAAAAGAAGAGATTGCTGTAAAAATTTCAGGAATTAAGAACTGCTGAGAGATGATGCTCACATTCAATGCAATAAGCAAGGAAATCTTCCTACAAAAAGCTGTGCAAAAATTGTGGACACTTGGGGGTTTGTTTTAACTGTGATTAATGCACTGTTTTGAAATCCACATGCAGTCTCTTTTATTCTTCCATTTGGTAAACTAACAAATACATCTACCTTCCAAAGGCTTGGTGATTGCTAGAGAAAATGTGCATCAAAACGAAAAAGAAAATAATAGCCATTAAGAGAATTATTAGGGGAATAATTTATGGTTTACTAATAATCTGTAGAGGCAGCGGGAAAACACAATTAGAAAAGCAAGTGGAATGACAGCCGGAACAATATTCCCTTCAGCTTAGACTAACTTCGTAACACTGAAACACAGGGAAGCATTTTATTTTACAAAATACTGTGCTTGCTATTCCACTTTTCTATATTTGCTTAACTGCCTAGAGTTAAATGGCTCTGGCTCAGTCTCGTGAGCTTCAGAAGATGGGACAAGACTCAGCACTGACGAACAGGTATGGGTGGAAATGCAAAGTCTGCCCGCAGCAAGGCTTCTCGTGCTGTCTGTAAAGCTGTAACAAAGCACACACTTGGGTATGCACTTTCCAAAGATTTGGAAGAGTCTTTGAAAGAGCAAGCTAAGCATTAACAGAAACACTTGGATTTTAAAAACTCATTTATAGCGACAAAAATACTCTAAACTTCTCTGTATGCTCAGGATTACTAATCTTTTGAGAGAGAAAAGAGAGTGATCTTGTTTCCTAAAGGACTTACTCCCAAAGGAAACAATAACTGCATCGTACCGCAGTCTTCTCCTGACCAAGAAACACATTACTGAAAAGGTTCAGGGGAACGTCGTCAGCCGAATCACTGGTTTCTTATCCACACCAGCCCAGGCCACCCATCACAGGGAAAGCATCAGCCAGAGAATTCCCATTACTAACATCACTACTGCTTCTCCCAACAGCTCCTAGGCGCTCTTCTATGCTGCAAAAGGCAAACGGCTCTTGGAGTGAAAAATAAACCACAATGAGAAACACTACAACAGCAGAACCTGCTTCCCTTGTGCTAACATCCATGATCTCTGTGGTTGTTTAATCAATACCAGCCTACTTGATTTTAACCCCCCCAAAACCACATATGCTTTGGGTCAAATGGATTTAACTTAATGGGGAGATGATACGTGCTTAGGTTTACTAAGGTTGACATATGGAGAAGAAAATGCCAACTGGAAAAAAGGTTGTTACACCTCCGCAGAATGCTGTGCATGCACAATCATTGCAAAGGCAACAGCCAAGGCCACCATAAGATCAGCCGCTCTGCTTGGAAACCAGCCAGATAGCAATCCCTTACGTACTAAGGCTGAGCCTATTTTCATAAGAGGAAGAAATGTGTCTCAAATGCCCCAGAGGAATTTGAGACAGGAAACGGCGATGTTTTTACTGCTGCCCAGCACTGATCCAGCGTAACTGCTAGATAAGAGTTGAGAGTCAGCAGATCCACTCAGCTCTGGAGCTGCTACCGCCCGTCCGGGCAAAGGGCACGTGGTCTGCATGAGCGTGCGTAGGACCTGCTCTTCAGGCTGCGACACACCAGCGCAGGGGAGACTGTGGAAGCAGAAGTCAGGATGTACAGCAAAAAGCTGGAGCTTTAGGAGGTGAAACACCAGGCGGTCCTGGTGTACACAGTAGCAGTCTTTGAGAAGAGGGAGGTGTGACCCCTCCAGCTAACGGCCAGGGTTGGTAACACGAAGTCTTTGATGGCTCGCTCGCTCATTTGGCATCCCTGCTCACACAGCAAACACACACTGCAGCTGCTCACTTTTACTCCAGGCAACTAATAAAAATCGACTTCAATTTACAGCATGTAGACAAATATTTTAGAAGCCAAAGGCAAGATATCATGTCTGCTGCTTATGAATTTATTACAGGGTGGGGATTTTTTTAAACTTTTACTACTCACATTTATAAGTATAATGTTAAAAGAGTTCTTTGTAGCTCTTTGATCTACACTAAAAAGAAAAAGCAAAACCAATAAAATTAAAGAGGAATATGTACTTAAGAAAAAAATTAAAATTCTTATCTCCATTACTTACAAAAACCTTTATCTGAAGATTTTTGATACAAAAGTTCTGGCTTTTTTGTTAGATGTAATTACATAAAATATAAAAAAGAGATTCTACTCAGTAGACCTTATCCAATGCAAACTATGGCTACAATAGCAGTAAGCCACTCTGCTGGGTGTACGTTATGAAGATGTAAAAGCAATTCACGCCGTGCAGCCACCACGTTCAGCAATGCATTATTTGCTATTTTCCACGGCATGATGACTGGGCAGTCAGGAGTGTGAGTCTTATTTTTCTGTTTGGAAGTAACACTTAAAGTGTTCTGAAACATTAACTAGGAGTTTTTACCGCTTGGTGCATCCTCTAGAACAATATGGCATCAAAATATCCCCAGATGGATTCTATATGCCAAGTGGCAACTGCACTACACCTGTAAAAACCCAGTCCCCACCTCTCATTTACAGTACTGCTTGGCCTTACTGACTTTGCCCTTTTCCCTGACAATCTAGAGGTCTTCCTAGGCAAGAGATAACCAGCAGTTTTTCCAGGGAGTGATAAAAAAATGGTCTTTACTTTTCTGGATAAGTTGGTAGCACTTTCCACAAGTGCACAGTGGACAGAAAAGCC